TCTCTCTCTCTCTCCTAATCCCTTAATGATATTTCCCCAATGTAAAGCACTGTTTGCAATCAATTTTATACAACCATTAATCATCCATCTTTCTAATTTGTCTAACCTTTAGCATTCACTTGCACGGGCATGACAAAGATACATGTATAATACAACGGATTGTCGCAACAAGGTCATATACTTGAATAGCTGATGCATTACTCGTATGATCGTATATTGCAGTCGTCCCTTGGTTAACATTGATGTATTGCTGTTACAATACTTCATCATAATCTGACAAACCTCATGTTGGTGCCATCATGCGAGTCTGCGCTGTGCATTAAGGGCACACAAAATAACGAATTGCAGGAAATGCTTCCATCGATGAAGTGCTTCAATAGGATCCTGGGTTTAACTGTCAGACATATAGTCAACTTCACAACATGTTGTTGAAAAAAACACCCCATCCAGGATGTGGATACATATTTGAAGCATACACAGGTTCTGTCAAAATTACATTTCAACGTCCTCTCAACGTACGGTACATACAACTACAGGTTTCGATTTAAAATTTAGTAAGCCATCAGCCAAGTCATTTTTTTTAGTATACTAGGTTTTATTTCTATTTTTAATGAATATTAAATTGCATGCAAAGGCTTGATTCTTCTTTTGCTAATTATAATAATAATGATAACAATTATTGATTCTGGTACGTTCTTTTACAATTACAATTTAACAAAATGACATTACAATTTAAGATGCAATAATGAGGTACTACTGTTTATATGTATTACGTAAGGAATGTAAAATACACCAAACAAAAAGTGCATATTTAAACATTTTTAATTATCTATGAAAATTATTAAGAATCATGGATTGTGCAAATAAATCTCAACACAGATGTATTCAAGGTAAACTGACCGTCAATTTAATTAACATTCGTCTAAGTAATTGCTGTGTAACTTCCCTACATCTCATTGATTCCTCTGGAGTGTGTCTAAACAGTCGGACACTTTGATGAAAGGGGCGATATCACAAGAACATTCTTTGTTAAAGGGATAATAACTGTTCGTTTTGGCCAAAAAAAAAAAAAAAAAAAAAAATTTCCCGAAGTAAACAACAATTTTTCCATACTTACCAATGGTTAACGAATCCATTTCTACATTCAAAGTTAGTCCCTTTTTTTTCTAAAAAGTTTGGTTTTATGTTATTATCTCTTAAGAGATTTTTACAGAGTATAGCCATCTATATATGGAGGTCACGTGGTCTGATGACAGGCTCAGATATCAGAATAACTGCCGTTTTGTGGTAAAACAGAATGTATTATATTCCTGTGAGTTGTTTACAATGTTTTTATTGTGAAATATAGATCTCATCAAAAGAGTTATTATCCCTTTAAGCGGTTCTGCTATGGGGATCTGTGAAAGTTCATTTTAAGCGCGAACTTACAACACATCACGGAATGGTCGTTTGATACGTGATCTGCGTGCTATCCATGTTGGTTAATTTTTACAATATAGCGGTATTTATCATTCTTGAAATAGAATATAATTTTTTCCCGTCGAAAAAGTTGGAGAATGATAACCAATGATGACAAATACCCATGGAAAAAATAATCTAAAAGGACGGTAACTGAAATATGACGATCTGACAGTCAAATGTGTATTAGATTTTCTTTTAGGAAACCAGTTTAGATTTACTGGTTAGGCATGAGTGCATCTTAGCTCATATATCATTCGTCTAAATAGGCATTGAATAAACAGAGGAACCTATATGTTTGGTTTATGTAAGACTGGCTTTTGGGCTTTCTCCAAATTCTTTAATACATTATTTACATTATTTAGGTAAGTGGCTGAGTTGGCTCAGATTTGTAAAAGTCATAATGGCAGTATCTAAGACTTGAAGCTTTTCTTCGTTAACCTTATTTAAAGAAAAAAAACATCTTTAATTTGTATACCAGTAAAAGCATTATTGTATTATACACCAAAAGAACCATTTTAAGCTACCCTGGGTAGTATTGGAGCAATCATCCCCGGATCATGTGAATGTCAGAATTCTTGCTGTTCCTCTTATAAAAAAATTTGCATTTATGTCTATATAACATTTTTTTTTAAAAAGATCCATTAAACCCTTTCTTTCAGTTGCTTTTCGTGAATTTAAATGCTAGGGCTGGGGTGAGAGGGCTGGGCGTTCATT